CATCCAATATTTATTGTTGTTGGGGCACTGAAGAAGAAGCAGATGTAATAATGGCCTACCACATGATAAAGGAGGCTGAGAATGGTCACTCACCTATCAAAGTTCTGTGCGATGATACAGATTTTCTGTTCATTCTGGCACACCATCTACATTTTCAAACTAATGGCATACCACACACAACAAAGGTGGTAATGGAATCAACATCTCACACTCGAGCAGTCATAGATATCAATGAGGTTCTCAAGAAACACAAGAAAATCATGCCCTATCTACTTTGAGCCCATACATAAGTTATAAGTGACACCACTTCCTGTTTAATACAGAGTAGGAAAGGCTTCTGTACTGAAGAATTTAGAGCCATAGCTATCCTGATTCTCTATACCCCTTGGGAATACTGAAACCCTTCTCAATGAAGTAATCGAATCCTGCTTGACATACGGGGCATCCATGTAAGGAGAAGAACCAAATGATTCTCTTGACACAATGCGAAGGATCATTTTTCGCAAGGAAGGCTGGTGGCAAGCGCCTAGCCCCTTTCAAATTGATGAGTCTTCCATCAACTATGGCCGCTTTTCGGCCAGATTACCATCGTGCCTATTATCAAGTGACGTTGTGTGTGGCTGCTGGCAAGCCAGTACCCCCAGCCCTATACCAGCCTAGAATAAGACCCATTGAAGAATGGATGGAGGAAGAAGTCTTCTACGATTCAACCTGTATATTTTGAAAATGATCAGCCAGTCGCACCGGAATAGTCCTCAACATTAAGTGTGGGTGTAGGAGCGACTGCAGAACAGCCCAGTGCATCTGCAAGGAATCTTCACTGGCATGCTCGGAATTCTGCCGCTGTATAAAGGGCGATGTCCATTGCCAAAATCCAATGAATAAGGCATCAGAAGAGAGTGACAGTGACAGTGACATTAGCGGTTGTGAAGACTAGTGCGTTATTAAAGAGGTGTTAAGACTTAAAACTTAAAAGACTTCAATAATGGTAAATGATTGTCTATAATGGACAAGGATATGGTTTACAATGAATATCTGTATCATATATTCATGTTTTCATTATTTTATTCATATATAACCTTCCCATTGCACAAAGTTTTCTAGCTAGCCTGTTGGGTTCGCTGTAACGGTATCCACTGCAAAAATGCAGGTGTTAGAGCAGTACAACTTATGTATTGGACCACACGGATAGATACAATTTGCTGTTATTATCACTCGCGTATTCCAGTATACTGTAGTTGAACCACTGGATTTCTGTCTTTAGCTAAATCAAAATTGTTGACCCTTGAATAAAAAACCATCCGATGCTCACAATGGTAAAGCTACCCATATTAAGACTAACAGTGGAAATCAATAGCATTGCATCTAAACTTATGTGAGTAACATCTAGATAAAGCACACACTCGGTATACAGTTGGCATACATCATTGCACATGTTGGGTTTTTCGGCCATTTTCATTATAATTGGACAGGAGAAAATCAACCTAATAAAGGAAAAAGTTTATTTGTTTGCAGCTATATGAGCTTCCGGTGAACAATTTGTACACTATGATGATAAGAATTAAAAAACTGCGTAATAATAATTGCTGTAGTGAGATTCACATTTGTTTCGCATCTGGCAATCTTTGGTTTTGGAATCAGTGCCCTCAATTTGCCCCAAAACATCAATCAACATGATAAATGTCCTTAGAATAAACGTTTTCATGATTTGGAAGCCATTTTGAATTTTTGCCGTTTACGAGAAATGCATAAGGTTTCGCATCTGGCACTCATCAGATTTGGATTCAGCACCCTCAAATTGACAAGAAAACATCAAATAACCTGTTAAATGGCCAAACATTTGCAAAGAATAAGCCGTTTCATGATTTGGCAGCCATTTTGGCGGCCATTTTGAATTTTCGCCGTTTACGAGAAATGCATAAGGTTTCGCATCTGGCACTCATCGGATTTGGATTCAACACCCTCAAATTGACAAGAAAACATCAAATAACCTGTTAAATGGTCAAACATTTTCAAAGAATAAGCCTTTTCATGATTTGGCAGCCATTTTGGCGGCCATTTTGAATTTTCGCCGTTTACGAGAAATGCATAAGGTTTCGCGTCTGGCACTCATCGGATTTGGATTCAGCACCCTCAAATTGACAAGAAAACATCAAATAACCTGTTAAATGGACAAACATTTGCAAAGAATAAGCCTTTTTATGATTTGGCGGCCATTTTGGCGGCCATTTTGAATTTTCGCCGTTTACGAGAAATGCATAAGGTTTCGCGTCTGGCACTCATCGGATTTGGATTCAGCACCCCTATATTGACAAGAAAACATAAAATAACCTGTTAATTGGCCAAAGAATAAGCGTTTTCATGATTTGGCGGCCATTTTGGCGGCCATTTTGAATTTTCGCCGTTTACGAGAAATGCTCAAGGTTTCGCGTCTGGCACTCATCGGATTTGGAATCAGCACCCTCGAATTGACAAGAAACCATCAAAAAACATTGTATATATAAAAATGCAAGGTTCGGGTCTTTTCCTATGGGGCCTAGCCTGGACTATATGCACTCCATGTACATGTACTCTCAAAGTATATATACATATCACTTTACCTTTCTCAATTAAGGAATGTTACCTAATATCAAACAAAATCAAAAGCTGCTTCTATACTCGCTCAGAGTGATCTCGGTGATTTTCATTGAACATGAAGTGAGAAGACACATATAAATCTGAAGATAAAGATAAAGACCAGTTATGGTCGTGCGATTGCATTGTAAAAGAAACGTTGTGGAATCGATCAGAAAGGATTGATCATAAGTATTGGTGTGTACTGCAAGGTTCTGGAATCATCAAAATAATAAGAAATTTGGCCCAGTCTTGGTAAAGTTACAAGCACTGTACACAGAAAGATGTATATGGGACTACGCAATATCTATCAGGTCCAAATAGATATAATAATTTACCCAATATATCAATTAGTAGGCGGTTTCTCGGCAAAATTTTTATGATCACGTATTAGTCAAAACATATTCTTTCACATGATTGGTAATAAGAGCTTCCATTTCATTTTTTGAGAGGGGGGCGTTTCCAAAACTGGTCTTTACCTTTAAGATCATTGAATGATTGAAAAACAGGGTGTTTCATCTTCCAAACATTAATCAAGAAAGATCCTGTTTTGTTCTTCTTCTTTGAATTTGGTAGTGGACTTGTGGTTTTACATTGCATGGAGGACCTACAAATTGAGAATTATCGAGAGCACATGTGCATAGTACATTTACACAATTATTCACTACTTTGCCGTGACATTAATATTGTAGAATCCCTCATGTGATGATTAACACAGTAAGACATCCTCAATCAAGCATCTACCCGCCACAGAACATATATTTTTACATTTTCAAATCATACTGATGTGGAATCATAAATTAGAGCATTTCTTCTGTTCTCTTCCGGCAACTAGTAATGATTATGATGATGACCTGAGGAAAGCTGAGTTGAATTTGGCAGTTTGCAGCACTGATCTGGTAATGAACTACCTTGTAAGATAGTGTCATGATGAATCTTAGATATAATATAGAGGGTTCAGTGACACAAAGACGTAACTCCATATTTTGCCAAAATGAGTATTTGATATCAAAATGTTCAGAAAAATGTGGGCTTTCCAGGAAACACAAAGACTTAACTCCACCTAACACCCCATTGAAGTCAATGGCTAGTGAAACATAGACATAACTCCTTTAAAAGACCCGTTATGATGATATATAAATACGTTCATAACTTAGCACCTTCTTACCTTCAGGTAGGCTTAATCAATCCTAATGATGTGCATGAGCATCATACAAGGCAAATAGACAGTGGATGCTTACGTGTGCCTAGATTTCACACTGATTGCTATAAGTGTAGCCCAATTGTTTCTTCCATATTTGAATGGAATAAGCTAGATAATTCGTTGAGAACGGCTTCCTCTGTCAATTCATTTAAGAGATTGTTTAAACAAAGTTGTAATTTGTGAATGGCTCAGCCGAACATATACTACGTGCATGTTCTGTAATATTAACATGACTTATTCACATAACTGCGACTTAATTAATATTTTCCTATTGACATTACTGTTTACTAGGTTAATGATATATGTTTATTTTGCAAACGAGTATTATTTTTGTAACTGTTCTGTATAAATGTTATAAACGATGTAAATATGTTCATTCAGGGCCCCATGGAAGACCACTACTTGTTGGTGAATGGGCTACCCTGTCAAAAGAATAGAAATAAATAAAATAAATAAATAAATAAATAAGTGCCCAGTGACACAAAAAACCACTTTTTCTCAAAATGGCCAAAATGGAGATACGTCTTTGTGTCACCTATTCCTCGATAAACTCTTACTCAGTTAGCTAGCTTAGAGCTAACCAGTGTCACAAAAAACTGTATTGAGAACAGACTAGGGTTAATATTATACAGTTAAAGCCCCTATGAAGGACTTACAAGCCCTCAAAATCTCAAAACTGATCTGTAGCAGCAAGGTGAGCTTACAGAACTAAATGCTAAATATACAAAATACTCTATGGTTTTCTTTCTACGAGTGTAAATTGAAGCCCTCAATTTGTACCCAACAAATGGGGTGAATGAAACACTGCCACTTGCAAAATTCAAATTTGAAAATCAACATGACTTTAATTTTACCAATAATAAATATTTTGCAACCATACCTTTAGGAAAGTGTTCAATTTAGAATATTTACAACATTTTGGACCTTTTACAAGTCTGGGATTTTCACCTTGCATATCCCTGCAATGCCTTTTAAACCTGTATGTAAAGATTGCTCAATGGAGACAAGAAAAGCGGCAGTGGAAGTGGTCTGTCAGAAAATGTTTAATTGATACCAATGACGAGTTTTACAAGCAGTTGTTATTGAATAGAATTGAATTTAGATGGTTCAATATACCGTTGGTGCATAAATGAATAATGTTACATAACTTTCATGAGCGCATATCCAGTATTCATCTCTGTTGGTTTTACCTTTTTGGTACGAATTACCTTTATCTGCCCACGCGCAGATTGTATCTGTAAACTCCCTTATAGGAGAGTCTTTGAGTTTGACTGCACTATTCATGGCTATGACTATGGGTATTTCAGTGAAAGCTATTCCTCTTCAGCTAAATACATACATTTAACTTCACCTCACTTCTAACATCATTTTTCTACATGATAAAGACTAACATATGCCATTACCAGCTATATCTATCTACAATGTAAGTGACCAGATATATATATACATGAATTACCAAATATATTTTTTCCAAAGTTCATCTTCTACATGTATGTACAGCATAAAATGTAGTACTCCGATGATTGGCCCTCAGTCTCGTTCGTACTCTATATGAGTGAGGAGTTTGGAGACGGTCTCCACCAGCTTTACGCTGCTCCCACAAATGATCTGTCTGGACATGATATCCAAGGGGCCACCTGGATACAAGGTGGGACAAGCATACAAGTGATGGGTTAACTCATTGCATGTGGAGGGGAGGGGAAGGGAAAGGAAAGGGGAGGGGAAGAGGAGGGGTAAACAGAGCTCCCTTCCCTACAATATCTATAAATATATACTGTATATAGATTTATAGTGCATATACATAAGTGTTAATAAATACTGCTTTAAAATAAGACATACTTTATATCATGAGACAATGGAGTATAAATTGCATAAAACAAGCAATTTTCTTTGAAGGCATTTGTTTGCAAACTGTCATATAATGTAAAGTAAAAGCAAACAAAATATTTTACTAGTTTTACCAGTATGCGTTAAGGACATCTTGTAGTAAAACAATGTTAATCTCAAGGAAAACAAGGCGACACTAAAAGGGGAAACAATTCTCTGAAAAAGGCTCTACATAAATGTCCAAACTGTAAACACCCCTTCTCCCTGATAAGACATAGCTATACATATATCCTGCTTGATGATAGGGATATATATTGGATTCGTCTTCAAAAGGATTTTGAGTATATTATTATAATTCCTATCAATTACCCATTTACTAACACCAGGGGGGTGTTTCACAAAGACTAAGATTGACTTTGAGTTGTACTTACCCTATGGCAGGCCGTTCATGCCACTGTTTGCTCCGACCATTATGATCTTTAGATATTACATTTTCCTTCAATACTGAATCATCAAAAAATGTAAATTCTAGAGATTGGTGACCATGATTTGTACATCCTTTGAGAGACTAATGCCCGTTAATGGTGAGAGCAAACAGTGGCCTGCCATAGTTAAGTCCAACCTAAAGTCAATCTTAGTCTTTGTGAACCACCCTCCTGGATGGAGAGTGGCAAGTGTAGATGTATAGCCTACCTTTAGGATCTGCACAATATCCCCCGGCCTCTTCAAGGATAACAGCAGCCGCAGCCATATCCCAACAATGAATACCATATTCAACATAGAGGTCGCTGTCACCACGAGCTACATGGCACATGTTGAGGGCAGCAGAACCAAGCGACCTCATACTACAAGAGACAAAATATTTGAATGTATGAATTGAAAGTTTTCATTATAATGGCACAAGTGTATGGAATCTACTCCCACCCCCTTTCAAATGGCAAAAACAAGGGGAAATGAGGAGAAAAGAGACAAAGAAAACGAATAGAAGGAGAGGAAGGTTGAGAAAAGATAATAGGACATTCTTGGCACCTTTCCTCTTAAAATTGGTGAAAACGGTACCGGTAAACCATTCAGGTGGCAGATGCCCTATTACCGGGCAGAAACGACTATGGTATATAATCAAGCACATATAATTCATATTAGATACATGTGCCTGAACCCCAACAAACTATATATTTTTGGAAAAGCTTATGAGTTGATCTACACAAAAAATTGCACTTCGGCAAATTTGCTTTAACCCTTACTGTACTGGGCTATTATGATCTCGGCCGTCGAATGTCTGATGAACACAAAAATTTGCATGTTTGTAGATATTTACGTAAGGAACAAGATGGTATAATTAGTTTTTTTCCTAATATGCAAATTTTTGTCGTTAAAGCCTAATTAATTATGCAAAATGCCAATTTTATGCATTTTACAGAAAACTCTACATATTTGTAGACTTGTGAAGAATCTTGAAAATGAATTGAATAAATCTTTCCTTCATATCAAATTCATGAGGTTTCATTAATTTCAAGATATTTGAAAATGCATACGTTAATTTCCATAAATTATGAATACGCAAATTACGCATTCATGAATATCAAATCTGGAAATATACTGGGAACTAGAATCATTACACAAATTGTCAGACTCCACTTTTTGAGTGTTGAAACTCATTATTCATATGGAACTTCTTTTCTAACACAAAATAGTTATTTTGATGTAATTAATGATAATTTATGCAAGTTTATGCGATTTTCAAATATTTATTTTCTCATGTATTTTATTTTGTATTATGTCTATTGTTTTATTTCTAATTTATTCTTTTGATCTGGAATACATCAGGTTACTTTGAGAAACATTTAAAAACTTTTGATATCAATTCATATCTCCCACTTAGGAAGAAATACATCTGCTTGAAAATGAATATATGCAATTATAGCACTTTTTGATGACATGCGCATACTAATTGTTATGTAACACCTTACAGGTATATCTGATTTCTACGAAAATGGTATCAAAATGTGCGTAAGGCTCGAGGAAAAAAAAGTCATGAAACGGTAAATCAAAATTTTAAGCGGTTGCGGCGCAATCTCCAATATGTCGAGGGGGAGCCTCCCAGGCCCCCCCCCCCCCCCCCCCCCCCCCAGTACAGTAAGGGTTAAGCCTAAGCAAATTATGGTCATTGATGACCCTGAAAATCAAAAATTTTCAATGCATGAACTTTTTAAAATGATGATAGTTTGTTTGCATGGTACCTGTACAGGTGAAGTTGTGTATGAAAGTCTTTTCTGAATTTCTCATTATCTGGCAAGTTGTTAAATCAATAATTTTTCATTTCTATTCTAACTATTTCTTAAAAGCCATCAGAGATTCATCATTAAAAGAAGTCAAAAGACGAGGTATGACCTAATTTGTTTAATTTGCATTTACCCATGACGTAACATTACTTGAGGGAGGAGATGTACATGTATATCCACATGGAATAAACGCATTTACAAGCTAGAATACCGGTAGATATTAAAGGAAAAACAAAACATCTAGACCATATGCTACACTATATCGTTGGTGGGGTGACAAAACCTTGTATCTCAAAAATCATGAATTTTCAGGAGAGCGAAAAAACTTTCCTGTCTCAACAAATTTAGTCCTTTCTTTTTAAAACTGGAATATTTATACAATTTTTAATGTCATTGTTGAAATACAGTAAAATAATTGTTTTTAAATTTGAAATTGAGTTACGAGGTTTTTGCGTTTTTCTACATTGAGATACAAGTTTTTACTTTCAACTCTGAATGAGTTACGAGGATTTGAATACACTAACTTCGGTACTGTTAGGCCGTGTGTGAGTTACGAAGAAAAGGAATTACGTATCTTACAATGTATGTTACGAGGTTTTGTCAGTTCAGCTTCAAAGGGGGTTAAAGTTGGGAGGTTTAGTTTAAGGGTGTTTGTGTGGAATTTGTGAAAAAACTGAGACGGAGGCGTTCCATGGATTTATCAGGTGGTGTCGTAGGCCATTAGGTACAACATTATGCAAAAAAATCAAAATCTCTAAAAATTTGAGATACGAGGTTTTGTCACCCCACCGACGATATGCAAATTTTGAAGAGAAACATCATATCTTACCCATGAACACCTGTCCGAAGTATGTCCTCGATGTTCTTCAGCTTAGCTGTGATGTGCTCTACCTTCCTACTTGACCCTATCTCTGTCATCACCAGTGACTGTTTGATGTCTGCATGAATAATAATAATAGTCACATTTGTATAACTGTTAATAGTAAATAATAATAACTTTTTTAATGTGCACATATCCACCCCAAGGGATGCTCAAGGTGCCTTAACAAATTTGGAAATTATTACCCTGGCTTTAGCTGTGCTGCCGTTCAGACACTCTACCATTTCAAGGAATCAATTCCTACCAGGTACCCATTTACATCACCTGGGTTAAGTGTGGCAAATGTAGATCAATGTCTTGCCAAAGGCCATTAGTGCTAAATACATTGTACGGTAATTGTCATTACCCACTTTGATATCTGGAAAAATAATAATAATTGTCACATTTGTATAGCTGTTAATGCTTCGTTTCTAAGTGCTTTACATTGTAATTGTAATTACCCTAGTTACTGGATTCAATTGCTAATCCACACATGACAGCGCACATGCTCCCCTCCCTGAGGAGTATTCTGGCCAGGTGCCATTTCACAAGTGAACACATGCCAATCCCACCCTATATACGTTCACATCCTGTCGGGTACCAGGGTGGAGGGAGGCAAATGTAGATTAATGTCTTGCCTAAGGACATCAGTGCCATGGTAGAAATTGAACCGCGAACCATGTCATCCACAGTCCGATGACGTATACACTAGACCCCAACACCTCTACATAGCAATGCAATTTACAACAATTAAGAAAATGGATAGTGTAAGACAATATTCAGTTACACAACATGTACAGAACTTGCTTTGATGCCAATTTCATGAGCTTTGCCTGACAATAAATAACATGTGCCATAATCTTATGATTATTAGGAGATAATACAGCAGAATGCAATAGATTAAAAGAGAGCAAGAAAGACTGTCACATGGGCAAAGAAAATCTAGATGAAATAACATTAAAAAAGACGAACTTTAACAGAATTGTGGTGTGGTTGTTTTTAAGGTAAAGAAAAGGTATCTTAACTCTTTAAGCTCACAGGTACATTTTATAAAAATATTTAGCAGCAAAAGTTAGGATTTGAGGGCATTTTCCCCATCTCTCAGAAACCAAGCAAAACAGTACATAATCTGTGTCCTTCCATGAGTACGGGGCTACAGCATATTTTTTGTTATTTTGTTATTATTTTTGTCGGTACATGAGATGCTGTGAAGAGGACTCTCTCAGGGATACAATGTGATGGCATGTTCTAGACCAACAGCTTGAAATCTTAATAGAGAGCATTCAACATTATACAAATAACGCACGGCCCAGAGTGCAATAGCGGTGAATGCAGTACGCGTAAGGTTTCTTTAGATTGGTGCCGCTCTGTGCAACGAGCCGCTTGCGGCGAGTTTACAGTGCGCACCACCTGAAGAAACCGAGTGTACACTGCATTTACGTTTCGCACAACAGGGTCAACTGTGCAATATTTGTTTTATGAAATAGCGACACAAATCAAAACAAACACAAGTTTAGATCTTAAGTATTAAGTTAGAGTCTACGAGAGTTAGATCTAGAGTTATGTTGGTTCTAGACTATGACCTTGCAAGCTTACCAAAAAGTCCACAGGATTCATTGCTTTGAGTAAAAATAAAATCCATAGGGGGTCTAGAGACGAGTCTACATCAGACAGCTGAAATTCCTGGCTTCATTATAAAATCCCAAAGTCAAAACAGGCTAAATCCAAGGCAAAATAATAAAAGTTTGCTTTCTAATAATAGTTAATACCCCGCTCTAGTCTATCTAGCTAAGCTACGCGTACGCTGCGCTGGGATGGATCAGGGATCATGGAGCGTACTACAGGTACGCGCTGGATATCCATGATAACGTGTAATATAACTTTTTTTTGCACTTTTTTGGGGGCAAAATCGTGCATGCATCAAAAATTTGTGCATGTCATGTGACGCGTATTGACCAATCACGATGCTTAAAATACTAGAGCCATTTTATAATTACTAATACTGCTACCACAGGACCTGGTGTACACACAAGCTGTATTATTAGTTCCCTAAGGAACTAATTAGCCAACTGTACATCAAATTTGCTGGTAGTCAGTCCCTATCAAGTTAGCCTTCTTAGCAAAATACAAATTGTTTATTGAAAATTGAAAAATTAAGTTATAAGCAAAAGTGATGATGTTTCTATCAATTGGCCCTACATTTCATTTGGAATTTTGGTTAGTTAGGGTTAGGTTTGTACATCAAGCAGAGTACATGTAGCATATATGCATATTCAATGTGCAATTTGGGTAAAGTTCTTCTTCTCCTATCAAAGTTTCAATATTAGTGCAAACCAAAAAGTGATTCAATGATAACTCTTAATGTAAGTTTAAGCCACACATTATGGTGCATTGAACGGGGTCAACCATGACTAGCTCTTGCTACATGAATGTGGGCTCCAATTACTATATGCATAGTTATTGACATGCATAACTACAATGTAACTTGAATTTTCAGTAAGAAATGGAAGGAATTAACAAATATAATATGGATGGATGGATGGAAGGAGGGGTGGATGGATGGATGGAGGGATGGATGGATGGATGGATGGATGGATGGATGGATGGATGGATGGATGGATGGATGGATAGATGGATGAATGGATGGATGGATGGATGGAAGGAATGAATAAAGTAATGAATGGATGGATGAATGAATGAAATAATACACTCAAAGACTGTTACCATACCTTCTTGACCGGAGCAGTTGATCTGAGCATCATTGCAATAAGCCCCTTTGCCTTTGATGGCAGTGAACATTTCATCTAAGATAGCATTGTATACCACTCCTGCAACTAGGTTTTTGTTGATGGCCAGACCAATGCAAACAGCAACAAAAGGAAAGCTGCACAATATTAAAAAAGAAAAGTATAGTTTTATTAGATTCAACAAAAACTCCACCCGACCAAAATCCTTTAGTAATCAGTCAGTATACAAATGATGCACAGGTTTGAGTGCGTCGGTAGGGAGTGTGTGCACAAGGTACTTTTGAATGGTTTTAGGCCAAATTCAAAGGTACCGCGTGCACACAATTCCACGGACCCACAAATTATACCTGTGCATCATTTGTTTTATAAGATGGGGCCCCAAAAATTGTCAAAAATACAAAATGTTGTTATTTTACAGATTTACCGGACGCATGATTTTGCCATAGCCATGCTTTCCGGTAATTACCGGAAAGCGTGATTTTTAAATTTGCATAATTTGTCTGTTCTTTAGTGCAATGTATTAAAACAAATGTAGAATGACTTAGGCCTAAACCTTAACCTTAACAAAATAAAGTCAGGCCTAACTGACCTTAACATGAAACCTTACCAAAAGAAAGTCATTAAATCAATAAAAACTTTGCAAGCTTTTTTGAGCTTTGGGGAGGTGCAGTCTAAATTAGAAGAGGTCTGGATCTTGTCCATATCAAGTACAGAAATTGAAGCTTTATGTGTGGTGCTTCCCGGCCTTAAAACACAGCCTTAAACATACGTGTGCTCTCGAGAAATTGAAATTTGTTACAGATATCTAAAGTACAGTGATCCAAAAAGTGGCGTTGTATGCCACAGCGAAGGTACTTAAGTCTAGATTTACAACTCACCGTCAGTCTATGTACAGAAGCATAGAAATTAGTTTAGAACGATAACAGTTTGTCCAATTCTGGCGTAAAAATGTCTCCTAAATTGACGTTCTTGATCTGTGCAAACTTTTCCAACTTTGAGAAACCATACTTTAATAGAAATTTTCATGCTAGCCGCATCTGAATTATCCAACAATTTAGATAATTCTTCTTCTTACAGAATCTGGAAAATCAAATCCCGCCGTGATTTCGCCATCTTGTTTTGGGTTTGGTTGTTTTCCTTAGTGGAGAAGAGAGAAAGTGCAAACAATCGGGATATCGGTGTTATCGATTCCAATATCGCATGTATCGTGTTGATATCACGTGCATCCAGTAAAAATAACTACACAGCAATTGACCAATCAGATTGCAGGGATTCTTCTAACCATCTTATAACAACCAATGGTCACCACTCTGGTGTGATTTCAAGTAGGACTTTAAAGGCTCAAAGAGTAGAGCAATTTGGCACTGAATATTTCGGAAAGCCATTCCTAATCACAACAGAGGTGTCAGTTTTCTTTGGAATAATCAATACTTTTTTGGGGTAGGTGTTTTGGGCATCTCATGAGATGGATATTGGCATTCTTTTATCATTATCATTACTGATCATGCTTACCTATGGACAAAGTTGGTGGTTCCGTCAACAGGATCGATGATCCATGTAGGGGCATCCGTCAGCTCTATCTTCTGACCGGCAGCTACGCTCTCCTCGCCTATAAAACTGGGTCAAAAAGCATGGAAAGTTATTTCTGAAATACGGCAATGTCCTTACCTGTCCTTACCTGTTCAATAAATAAGAGAGAGAGAGAGAGAGAGAGAGAGATGCCTTTTTAAAGCTGAGATAAATTAAATAACTATTACAGTTTACCTATAGCAAGAAAATATCAATATACTATAATTGATATTACTAAAATATAACATTTTTACACTAATTTTGAGAGATTAAAAACTCTCATGGCTACCAATTTATTTATCAATTTTTTTTGGACATGTTTCAAATATACTGTTGAACACTGATAAAAAACAAGACAAAGAGTGTTTTTACTTGAGATAGAGCTGGAGACAATTCAACTGTCACACCTCAAGTTTGTTTTCTCCCTCTTCCTTTCTTTCATTTAAAAATTTGTTTTCCGGTAATGAAATTGGCCTAAATGTTCAGAAATCTCTGACCAATACATGTAATGAGGAAAAAGTATATCCCTCAAAAAAAGGAATCATGGTGGCAAAAAAAAGGAATTTCAAGCAAAAAAGGAATTCATAAAAACAAAACTTACAACCACGTGCGACACACTTCCAATGCAGAAATGTTCATTCATCATGCTGTTTTTTCCATACAAGCAGGTAATTTTTTGGAGGTTATTTTGGTATTATCGGCATTTCATTTTTTTTTGAGAATATTTTTCTCTTGAGGTATGTTTTAAAATGAGTTTTCTATTGAAATTGCGATCAAATCACCATTTTAGGTCAGTTGTTTGACAGGCGGTATGTAAAAAAAAAAAAGAAAAAAAAAGAGAAAAATTTAAAAAAATTCAAAATTTTTTTTTTTTTATTAAAAAACGTATTTTATGAAGAAAAAACGTAATACTGTATTTTGGAGGAAAAAACGGAGTAATTCCGGCATAAAACAGAGTAATTCCGGCAAAAACGGAATGGTTGGCAGCTCTGTATCCCTCCATTCAATATGCTTACCAATGATCTGGAAATTTTTCTCGTAGGGTGCCTATGATCATTTTCTCCACATTCTGATCAGTTTCTGTGACTAGATCTGCTGCTGAACTTTTGGTTTCTACCCTCTTCTCAAGTGCAAATGCTGCCTTAACTACCTGTTAAGATCACAGAGAGAGAGAGAACAAAAAAAAAAGTTGTTGCAGATCATAACAAGTTACAATAAATTTGCCCATTCATATTCAAGCTGTTCATAATTTTGACTGACTACATCATAACTATTATGGTCGACAAAAGTCATTCTAAACTTAAAGACACTCTCTCTTTCTTTTTTTCTTAAACCAAACTGTTATTTTACACAATTTTATCATAATCCCAAATAAATTGGTGTTTTAAAGAGGTACAGGTACTCAATAAAAAATAAAAATCATACAACAGTTTAAGATCGATTCATCTCTCTTGGCTGACTCCCAGCTCCAGCAAGTCTGAAATGTTCCTAGTGCCAATCATTTAATCTGAGGCAGGTTTATTTTTAACCATCAAAGTGGAAGTCCACCTTGATATCAATTTTTCTCCAGATTTTCTCAGTCAAATTTGAGCTCCAAGTTAAAATTCTTGCAGCCGTATTTTAAACTGTTACTGTCAATGGATGACGTCATCTTCCTTCATGCGCAGTAACAGTGTACGGCTGCAAGAATTTCAACACAGAGCTCAATTTCGATCGAGAAAATCCGGAAAAAAGGACCCTTATACGCATCATACAGTCAATCTGGCAGATCTACATGTAAGTCACTATGACATGACAGACAAAAAAGCGGACAAAATATACAGTTCCTCAGGTAGACGAAGGAACATCCCTTCACTGCTATTATGTAAAATGGTGAATGTGCATGTGACACCTGTTCTACACATTTTTACATAATAGCAGTGAAGGGATGTTCCTTTGTCTACCTGAGGAACTGTATATTTTGTCTGCTTTCTTTGTCTGTCATATTCATAGTGAGTAGAACCGATGTACTGATGTAGTCTATATTAGCCTAGGCCTAATTTTCAAAAATAAATGCATCGGATATGAATCAGCTAAAGTGACATTTTAGTCCAAAAGTTTGGCCAGAATTTGATGGTTAGATCCATACATAGGAGCATCACTATCCTGGCTATGTAGTAAAACAGGCAACACTGTCCACCAGCACATTAACGCGACATTTTGAAAAACATGCTGCAGCTACCCTACTAAACTGTTATCATACATACCGGTATTAACCACTCAATATTGATGACAAATAACAAACAAATAAAATTAACCAGTTTCGTTTTTGAATTTTACTTGAATTTCCGGTAATTCAAGCAAGACTTCTGCCTATTTGGTCCATCATTCTTAAAGCTAAACTTTAGTACTGGTAATGCGATTGCATTGTGAAAGAAAAGGTGTGGAAAGGATCAGAAACAGTTGATCATGTAGCATGTAAGTATTGGTGTGCACTGCAAGGTTTTGGAGTCATCAAAATCATAATAAATTTGACCGAGTCTTGGTAAAGTAACAAGCACATACACAGAAAGCTATGTATGGGACAACACGCATGTTGTCGGGGTTGGTACTACCTTGATTCCTTGTCTTTCTATGCTCATTACTCAGCCAGTATACATTTTCTTCCAAAATTGTTTGGCACATGTCATTTATTTGTAATCTTGAACATTCAGTGTAAGTTTCGTTTGATTCTGTGAGAAATAATTTTCTTTTTTTTACCACTACTGGAGGTTAGCTTTAACTCTGAACCTCCATTTTCTAATGTTACGTACGTGTTGAAATAAGTGGCCCGACAGCGCCTTCATACTTTAATTATACGTACACGCACACGCCATGGCGCGCCATTTGCCATAGCAAAATAGCACATTGCGACCGCACCGTTAAGGCTGAGCTCACGAATGTGCAAAGACTCTGTAAAAGCGGGAGAAAAAGGGACTTTAAAAGTGAGTTTACACATTTTTTTCATGCTAACATTAAAATAATATACAAATAATGAATGGTTATGAGTTCAACAGTGCGAATATTTTCATGAGTTGAAAGATTAACATTCTATTCAACGAGGCGTCAGCCGAGTTGAATAGAATTAATGTTAATCTTTCAACGAATGAAAATATTCGCACCATTGAACGAATGAAAAACATTCATTATTTGTTTTATACAACATCAAAGAAGATCAAGAACGTTAATCAACAAATTATGCTTTACTCCTTATATTAAAGATAAATTCAAGTTGGATTCAAGCCTTCTCGATTACATTCAGATTGCCTTCGCGTCAGATTCACGCAGGGATACGCGCGCGCACGGCAGAGAGGTACGCAGTCTGCATATAACCAAAAATGCACGGCGCATATAACCAAAAATGCACGACCGTGCAATATACCATCTATTGAATATCATGTAACCAACAATCCTCCAATCAAATGACAGGGATCCACGTAGGTGTTGTATAATGTAATTTAATACTATAAAATGGAGACAAATATAACATAACCTAGACCTAGGTCTATGTTATGTTGTATTTGTCGAGCATTTTACATGTTTAAAAGTAAAAAAATTCTATACCGTGCCTCCCCCATACATGCAGTGCTAGAGGTCCATACACATTAGCATGTGGGGTCACTCTAGATCATAATATCTATGCTTAGATCCATTCACCGAGTTTGCAGAGCAGAATATGGTCAGCTTCTGTCTCTAATTCTAAAGAGAGGTGCCGACCCTACCCAAATAAGAGGCTAACGAATGAAAGAGACATACATTCTCGGTCTACCCTAACTGAAGCTTAATTAAACTTAGAAAAAGTAGAATCTTCACAACAAAAACAAAACAAACATTGATTTGAATTCTAGACTAGAATTTACATTGATTCTGGTACTCAGGACACTGCAATTTTGCAAAATATGAAAATATTTAAATTAATCTGATCAGCGGAAAAAATGCACACATACAACGCAATTCTTTCTAGCAATCTTTAGGATTCATGGACCATTGACTATTTTGAACAATTTTGAACAAAATTCCTGGACAAAATAAGAATTTCATCCCGTCTTCTATAGCTAACACAAAAATCATTGTATGGGACAAAGCAAGTAAAAATGGTCGGGGAGGCCACATTCAGTCTCATAAGGAGAATAATAAATAGCTTTCTTTACCTGGCCAGCATTTCTAGCCACCTCAACGGCAGTCTCTAGGAAATTTTCCACATCTTCGTCTTCAAACTTCGTAACAGCTGTAGCCTCATCTGCCATCTTTCCAAATGATTTCCAATGAATTTACCAGGAAACTTAAAATTGTCTAGCCTAAATTCAATTCGGCCTTTCTTCTAATTCTCGATACGATGGATTCGCCAAGCTAAGGCGAGTCGACCTTGGCTTTTCGATAGAGTGAGCATGCATGCATGCTATCGATCGAGGTCCATATGATGAAGCAAGTTCGATTTGTTTCTTTGGTTTTCTTCTTTTTCTTGAAATAATATGACTGTCACTGGCCCTGAAAAGTAACCAGGTTGAATCAGAATCATATGAAATGTGCGAACCATATTCAATAACATGTACGTCCTATCATGTCTTTACACATCCCCTACCCCCCCCCCCCCCCCCCCCAAAGAAAAAACCCCAGGAATATATGACGATTTTAAAAATATAAAAAATGAAGAAAAAAAAGCTGTTATGAAAAGGCCCAGATCAGAGGCGGTCACTTTTTCAAGTGCCCCCTTTTACATAGGAAAGGTGCCCTCTTTTACTTCAGATGAGAGCCCCTTATTTCTAATAATTAAAAGTGCCCGTTTTACATTCGTGTAAGTGCCTCGTACCACTTCTGATAAGATCTCCCTCCACCGAAAGATGATAGGCCCTATTCAAATTTGAGAGGTGCCCATTTTACTTTGAAAAGTGCCTTTTTAAAAATAATTGCCCCTTCCCCTTCTGATAAATGCCTCTTTTCATCTTTGATGAGTGCCCCTTCTCACCTCCGACTCAATGGTGCCCTCTTTTATTTTGACAAGTGCACCTATTTCTAATAAATGCCCTTATTCTTTCGAATAAATTCCCCTTCCTCATAAATGCCCTTTCTCACACGTCTGATAAATGCCTCTATGAAAATCTCATAGGTGCCCTTTTTCTTTCGTCAAGTGTTCATTTCCCATGTAACAATATAAATGCCTCTTTCCATTCTCACAATTGCCCCTTTTCATCTCATGTGAGTGCCCCTTTTCAGGTACAAAAAATGCCCCGAACCACCTCTGATGAGTGCCCTTTCACCTCTTATAATTGCCTCTTTTCAAATCTGAGAGGCGCCCCTTTTTTGTGAAAGTTTTAGGTGCGTCTTCTTTTCTTGATCCAATAATATTTTTAAATTCAACATAAACATAATACAAATATACAGACATCCATGTAGCAACAATAAGTCAAAGAAGAAATCAAATGGATCTATGGTATAACTATATAGAATAGAAAATATATGTGCGTCTTTTCATTTCCGGTGACTAGTGCCTTTATTAAAATTTGAAAGGTGCCCCTTAAAATTTTTAATAAGTGCCACTTTTCATCTCCGAAAAAAAAAATGCAATAAATTTTCAATAATTCATTGCATTTTCCCCCAGTCCCCAACAGGAACAATTCCTCTGTAGGGCCATGCATTATGGTTCAAGGCATGCCCACATACAAGATTTTTGTATGTTGGGGGTCAGGGCAAAATGGAATGAATTATTGAAAATTTATTGCATTTTCTTTGTGTTTTTTTTGTTTTTGTGGGGGCTTCGATGACCCTAGCGCCCGCTGTGTATAGTCATGATTTATTGGCTAAGCAATGGCTTCGTTACTGTGAGCCCCCAGGATCAAAACTTTGTCGATGTGGTATATATTAGTGCCCTTTTATGAGGCATTAATCCCTATTGCTGTCAGTTATGACTTAAGGACGTAGGTCCCCTAGTTGATTAGCATAGTAGCACACACATTCTTCAGCAGTCACGCAAAACAAACACTCCCCAATTGTCATTCAATAAAATCTGAGAATGTATACTATTATCTAGATCTATAAGAAACAAATCATTGTCAAAATCATTCAATAAATTGGGGTAAAAAATAATTATTCCACCATTATGACCAACAGTGTATATTCGGTCATTTTGTTGAAAGGAATCATCCCACTTTATCAATTTTGCGAGATGTTAAGCGAACGAGGGGGGAAGTTTGTCGTGGTATCAATTTTATTTTGACATAAAGTACAATGAATAAGGTTATATTCGGGCGCTATGCTGCCCGAGGTGCCCGAATAACTTCATATAATCATAATGGAGATTTTCATTGACCTCTCTGTCTGAACTAGCCATGGCAGTTTCTAAATTTTGCGAGCGAGCAAAGCAAGGGAGGAAATTTTCACTTTACCCTCTTTGTTGTTTCTTCATCAAAATACCAAAAGTGATATATATTTGAGAATATTGCTGTTTCATTACTAAAATCTTTGAAGAACGTTTTCGAGCAATCTATCTCTTATTATCTCACATTTCTTCTTTCCCCTTACCTTCATCTCTTCCCTCGCTCTCGATCATCTCTCTTTCTCTCTCTCTCTCTCTCTCTTTGGCCGATGAGGGGAGGAGAGGGGGGGGGGGGGTGGGAGGCTAGTCCAGCCTCTGTACCGTCTTCGTGTCGCACGCCCAATCAGCTGATCAAAGGCTCAGATCAACTCCGATTCTGCATCCTTTTGGAGGGACAAAAGTGCACACTGCTCCCTCTTTTCATGTACTATTAGCCTATGAAGAAGAGAATTTTTCAGTGAACCAGCGAAATGGAGATTTTGGCCTGCGAGCGCGTAAAATATGGAAATTAAATATTCATGAGCTCTTTCCAGCTTTAAGCATAGTAATATTGGAATAAAAACAGACAGTGCGCATACGTAACTATCGACAGAATCCTATCGACCCGAACTATTGAAAAGTGTGGAACAAAGGTCAGATTTTTTTTTTTTTTTTTTTTTTTTTTTTTTTGGGGGGGGGGGGGGGGGTAAATAAACTTTAAAAGGGTAAATTTGGGGGCAAGAAAATTCACTGCCACCAAGATGAAAAGTACATAAACAAATAACAAACAATGACCTCTATTTTGGACATCTTGTTTTTCGTGTGTTTTATTGTTTTGTTTAATTACATATTTATTTATTCATTTAAACAAAATTAAATCAATGATTATCTATCAAATTACACAGATCATTTGGCCCACTAAACAAGTGCCATTTTCATAATTTAGTGCCCAAACGATTACTTGCCTCGTCATGTGGCTCCGAGTAGTCTCATTGGACAACGCCCCCTATCGTCAGAGTCCAGCAGCCTAACATGTTAGCCTATGGACTTTTAGCTCAAAATCGTTAAAAATTCATTTTTTGTTTAAACGAAAAGCACATCCACCCCGACGTACGTTGACACCTGCTCTTTCATTGGAACCCTCATGTCCCATCGACTTTTGAAAGTTTACCCACCGTAATTTGGTCAAAATAGGTCGCCAGCTCGTCATTACCTATATAACACATGAGCAACAATTAGGTCGAGGTTATAGCACACGAAGGATAACAAGCATGAATTATCATAGATAAGTTCTGACTGGTTCATAATGTCCATTTCAGCATACCCACCACCGTAATTTTTTCCATTTAGTATAGGCAAGCATTTTGCCGAGGTAAGCAAAAACATAAATATTATTTACAGAGGGGTGCAATTGTGCACCACATAAAACTCCCCTACTTGAAGTCCAGTATTTCACTGTAATATTGTGTAGTTTGGTAGGTTTATTTTACTAAATGTTTAATTATCAAATATCAATGACAGTTTAAAGATATGGAACAGGTTCTTGTATTTTATATTTAGCAAAGCAATTTCACATACAAAATCACTATCAAGTGTCGTCTGATCCGCCGATTGCCGTCTGCTATACGTTCAAGTCACATTTATCTGTGGACTGTGATGTAGGCAGTTTACTCGTCATTGTAGATTTATAATTAGCCATCTGTCATTATTAGTCTTTAATTGTTGACACACATACAATTACCAAACACACACGAACACTCTCACTTCCCCTCCTCCACACACCATTTCCGCACACCCGGTTCACCCAATGGCATACACCCTGCAACGTTAGTGGAACATTCTAGTTTGGTTGTGCCGTCGAACTAGCTACGTTTGTGCTGGCAATGGTCCAGCGAGCGAAAATGAGACAACCGGAGCAATATGCTTCAATGATCTTTCATAATGTGCCCCCTTCGCAATGAAATTTCAATTTTGCACTCAACGCCACTGATTTGTTTTTGTTAATATGCTCCTCTCCCCCCGCATACAGTGAAATTTTCAATCCAGGACGCCTTTCCAATACTGAAATCTACATACATGTAGATGTAGGCCTTATTAACCTGCCATCTTGACAACAACTTATTTTAATGATTTGCTCCCCAACCCCTGCCCCTACCCCTCTATCTATTGTAGACCATTTTTAAACTGCGTTTATACTTTTGTCCTGCCAACTCTCTTCATACATTTCCCTCTTCTAATGATAATAATCATAATAACATTCCGTTTTTAGAAAGCGCTCAATACATCGATCCAACGATGTGCCTAGGCGCAATACAGATATATATTATTACCCCGGTCATCGTATTCAGGCTTAACCGCAGATAATGTATGCACATTTTCCACTCCCTAGGGATCATCCCAGCCAGTCGCCATTTAACAAGCGCACACTTGCTCGTCCAACCATATGAACTTTCGCATCCTACCGGGTATCCATTTAACACCTCGGTGGAGAGTAGCAAGTGCAGGTAAATATCTTGCCAACGGATATTAGTGCCGTGTCGGGATTCGAACCCTCGATCTTCGCATCTCTAGTCAAGCACCTTAAACCACTCGACTACGACACTCCCACATTAGGAAAGATTAAGTCTATCCTGCTGATGCCAGATCTAAAAAAAATACAAGGGTGAACACCAATTACTCAATCCTAAATTTCTTAGACTGCATCAGCACTATCACACCTCAGTCATCATTATGATTACAGAGTGCCTACATTATCATATATCTTTCACAAAATAAGAAAAAAAAGAGAATAATTAAGCAGTATCAAATTATTTTATTAACATTTATGAACTCATTTATAATTTTTTTTTCTTTCTATGATGATCTTTTTAAATGCAACATGACATAAGCTGCGCCTTGAGCATTTGATTGTTAAGTGGATTTGGCACCTTATAAATCTTATGTGTTATTATTATTATATTACACCATGAAAAGAAAGGTATCAAGTGTATGGGGGGGGGGGCTGCGGCCTCTTGAACACACAT